CTGCACTCCAGCCTGGGCGACAGAGCAAGACTCCGTCTCAAAAAAAAAAAAAAAGAAAAGGCGGGTTTAAATTTAATTCTGCTCTAGTGTTAGGATACAGATAAAAAATGACTCTCTCTTTTAAACTATGGAATTTTAGAGTAATAAGGGACCCTTGAGTTTATCTAATTCAGCTGACTATTTACCAGTAAGAACTAGTTTTTTAGAGGGATCAAAAAACTTTGTGATAAATCTGAATGGCTCTCTGTCAGATCAGAGCTCCATCATTCCCCTCACCCAAAACAAATGAAAAATCCCCAGCAAAGTAACAGACTAAATAGATACTAGAATAGGATAGCTGAATACTTGGCGAGAGAAATCTAATGGGTTTCATGTCACTTGATCATAAACAGTGTCTAGGTTCAGTTTGTACCTCAAATTTCCCTTACGTAGCAGGAGAATAGGAACTATATCACTGTGGCTTTTATTCCTGTAATCCTTTCTGCAGAAATAACTATTTGACCACCCCTTTTCTAGAACATCTTGTGACATGAGAGACATCTTAACCTACTTATTTTTGTTATTATTATTACTTTTTTGAGATGGAGTCTCACTCTGTCGCTGAGGCTGGAATGCAGTGGTGTGATCTCGGCTCACTGCAGCGTCTGCCTCCCAGGTTCAACCTGGCAGATTCTACTGCCTCAGCCTCCCGAGTAGCTGGGATTACAGGCAGGTGCTGCCACACCTGGTTAATTTTTTTATTTTTAGGTGAGATGGAGTTTTGCCATGTTGGCCAGGCTGGTCTTGAACTCCTGACCTAAAGTAATCTGCCCGCCTCAAGCCTCCCAAACTGCTGGGATTACAAGCGTGAGCCACCCCATGTGGCCCATCTATTTTTAGAAACTTGATCTGCCTGGTACATAAAATTGGTATTTGGAATGAATTATGGCTTATTGGGCCTTGTAATTGCAAGTTATTTTCAAAATAGCAGGGTAGAAATGGAAGGCTCAAAGAGTGATTAGCTTTTAAAGATTTGTTGAAATAAGACGTTCATAATTGGTTTAAGTACTGCTTGAGTTTTATCCTTAACTAAGTCCATGACTTTTTTGTTTTTTTTACTAGCACTAAGAATCTTATATCCTTGAGTTATTAAGCAGATTAAGGAGTACTAGGCAGTCCCATGGTGGTTATCCTTTGTGAAACTAAATATAATATAATAGAATCTAGAGGTCTTGGTTATTAAGTATGTTTTATAGAATTTCAGCTTCTGTTTGTTTTGGTTTTTTTTTTTTCTTTGAGACGGAGTCTCACTCTGTTGCCAGACTGGATGGAGTGCAGTGGCGCGATCTCAGCTCACTGCAAGCTCTGCCTGCTGGGTTCACGCCAATCTCCTGTCTCAGCCTCCCAAGTAGCTGGGACTACAGGCACACACCACCACGCCTGGCTAATTTTTTGTATTTTTAGTAGAGACAGGGTTTCACCATGTTAGCCAGGATGGTCTCAATCTCCTGACCTCGTGATCCGCCCGCCTCGACCTCCCAAAGTGCTGGGATTACAGGTGTGAGCCACTGAACCCGGCCTTAGCTTCTGTATTTTTAAGGAGTTAGGTTATAGATCTACCCTTAGGGGTAACTACATTTCCCTTTAGAATTGTTATCTTAAATATATCTGAATAGGTTGTCATCCATCTCTCTTTTGCAGGACACATGCTGGCAAATGTTTACCACGTCTCAGGTTGCTCATACAAAGTTCAAAAGGTGCTTTTGAGCTCATTGAAATTGCTGTTTTTTTAAAAAATGACCTAGCTCACAGTTTTTTTTTTTTTTTTTCTCTCTCACTGTTTTGTTTTTTATTTTTTTAAATTTTTTTAGACATGGGGTTTTGCCGTATTGCCCAGACTGGTCTTGAACTCCTGGGCTCAAGCAGTCTGCTCATCTCTGTCTCCCAAAGTGCTATGATTACAGGTGTGAGCCTCCATGCCCAGCTTTACTGAGATTTTTAAAAAAAATAAATTTGACTTATGTCATATTATTCTTCTGGATGTATTATAAATCTAGCAATATACTTTGTATATTTTTATATGACAGGGAACGACTAATTAAAAAGTGTGTTGCAATCCAAATTTGTAAGTAAATTTTGATTAGATTTTACAATGCCTTTTTCTTTGAAATACAGATGAAACAGATTTATCTGCAAACTCAAAATGAGTTAGAGAGTACCTTAAATTGAATAAAGGGACTAAGTGTACCTTTATTATGTGAGTGGGCATGTGTGGCAAACTGGAGAGCATGTGCAGCTTGAAGGTGCAAGCCTCTTTATGATTCCAGTTGGTTGTAGTTACACAGGAGTGAAGGCCCAGTGTTTCCAGATTCTTTTTTCCCTAAAGAAAATCCAGAAATCTGAATTTTTGTGAAATTCCTGATATTAAAATGTTTAAATTTTTTGAGTGAATACTGATGGCCAGTGTAGATGTATTAATGGCCAGGAGAGGAACATAGGCCTCAGTTTGGAGTTTTCCCTTAGTGTAGTAGTTTGACTCCCAAGTTAACCCATGCTCTGCAAATTGTAAGGTAGCTAAATTATACTACTGGCCTGATTTCTGAGAGCAGGGCATGTGGGGCAGAATTGTTATTAGCTCCCTTTCCTGGGCTCAGGGAGAATTGCTGGGGATGGTGGATGCTGTAAACAGGCAAAGTTAGGTAATTTATACTTTCTATTCTGCCGTCTTTTGTTGTAGAGTATTTTGCTCTGAGCTACCCAGGGCCTTCATAATACCTTCAGTTGTTCTGTGACCTGCTAGGCTCTGAGAAGACCCGTGTTTTCACCATCTCCAGAATTCTTTTTTTTTTTTTTGGAGATGGAGTCTCACTCTGTCGCCCAGGCTGGAGTGCGGTGGCGCGATCTCGGCTCACTGCAAGCTCCGCCTCCCGGGTTCTCGCCATTCTCCTGCCTCAGCCTCCCGAGTAGCTGGGACTACAGGCGCCCGCCACTACGCCCGGCTAGTTTTTTGTATTTTTAGTAGAGACGGGGTTTCACCGTGTTAGACAGGATGGTCTCGATCTCCCGACCTCGTGATCCGCCCGTCTCGGCCTCCCAAAGTGCTGGGATTACAGGCTTGAGCCACCGCGCCCGGCCCAGAATTCTTATGTACTTCTTCCACTGATAAGGAAACAAGTAAAACAAATCCATGCTAAATATCACAGGTAAAAACATTGGTATTATCTATTTGGAAGTTTGTGCTTATTAACAAGTAAATGCTTGATAGACTTCTAAACATTGCAGTAAAGTACAGTAAAAATAATTAAACTGTGTAGGATGGTAATTCGCTGTGATATAATTAGAATTTGCTACATTCTACCAAAAACAACAAAATTTCTGAATCTGTGTTGTTTCCCTCAGTGGCACAAGGGAGAGAGGGCATAGACCTTGTGTAAAAATTAACAGAGATTCTTCACTGATTGTTCCTTAAATCACAGTGCTATTATCATCTCTGGAGGACCTAATTCTGTGTATGCTGAAGATGCTCCCTGGTTTGATCCAGCAATATTCACTATTGGCAAGCCTGTTCTTGGAATTTGCTATGGCATGCAGGTATGTCAGCAAATTTGTTTTGAAAGCTTACTTATATTTTATTCTGTTTGTGACTCATACTGTATTAGTATTTTCTCTCTTTAGGATATTTAGGATTAGTTGGATGAGATAACTTGCGCAAATATTACAAATATGTGAATTGCCACACTAGTATGGCAGAACTGGCCTGATAGGGAATCTATTTCCAGAGTAGTAAGTATACTATTTCATGTAACAAAACACTATCCATTTAAAAAAACCTTGGACATGCAAATTTACATAAAATTTTCAGAAATAGTATACAGAGCTCCTGTATACCTTTATCTAATACTCCAGTTGTTGACATTTTTGAACCGTTTGAAAGTTGCACACGTGATGCCCTGTTACTTATATTTCCTAAATATTAGGACACTCTCACTGCCTAACCACAGTACAACTATCCAGATCAGAAAAGTTAACATAGACTTATTGTTAGAATCTAATCCACAGACTCCTTCACATTTCAGTTTGTCTCATTAATATCCCTTATAGGCCACAGATCAGTCAGGACTATGTATTGTTTTTAGTTGTTGTTTCTTTAGACTCTTTCAGTCTGAAACAGTTCCTCAGTGTTTCCTTCTCTTTCATGACCATGAAAGTATTTTTAAAAAGTGTGTGTTAGTTATTTTGTAGAACATTTCCCAACTTTGGTTTCTGTAATGATTCCTCATTGTTAGATTCAGGTTATGAACTTTTGTCAGGAGTATCACAGAATTGGTGCTGTGCTTCTCAGAGCATCTTATCAGGCGGCACACGGTGTGGATTTGTGGCATGACGGGTGATGTTAACTTGGATTATTTGATCAAGATGGTATCTGTCAGGTGTCTCCACTGTAACATTAATTAATAAGTATATGTACCTTGGTTTTATATCGAAAGTAAGAATAGGCCAGGCGTGGTGGCTCACGCCTGTAATCCTAGCACTTTGGGAGGCTGAGGTGGGCGGATCACCTGGTCAGGAGTTCGAGACCAGCCTGACCAACATGGGGAAACCCCCGTCTCTACTAAAAATACAAAATTAGCTGGGCGTGGTGGCACATGCCTGTAATCCCAGCTCCTTGGGAGGCTGAGTCAGGAGAAGCGCTTAAACCCGGGAGGTGGAGGTTGCGGTGTGCGGAGATCGTGCCATTGCACTCCAGCCTGAATGACAAGAGCGAAACTCCTCAAAAAAAAAAAAAA